AGTATATTGTACTGTACTGTACAATAGATTATATTGTACTGTACTGTACAGTAGATTATATTGTACTGTATTGTATAATAGTAGATTATATTGTACTGTACTGTAGAGTAGAGTATATTGTACTGTACTGTAGAGTAGAGTATATTGTACTGTACTGTACAGTAGATTATATTGTACTGTACTGTACAGTAGATTATATTGTATTGTATAGTAGATTATATTGTAGTGTACTGTACAGTAGCTTATATTGTACTGTACAGTAGTAGAGTATATTGTACTGTACTGTACAGTAGATTATATTGTACTGTACTGTAATCTTTTTACTTTGGCTACCAATCGTAAAACAATATGAAATGTCAATAAACTTACCTACAACAAGTCCATATTGTTTAGTTTGTATTCCGGAGACTGGCCTCCTCTTCACAGTTGCAAGCTTGGTCGGTCGACTGTGTGTTCAAACAAGTATTGATTTATTCCCAAATGGGTGGGAACTGAGGCGTTTATAACGTGCGATTGTGCTTATGATTTCAGAGCGATGAATTATATGAAAGGGATTATTAATTAAAATTATTGAATACCAATAAAAAATCAATGAATTTGATTATGGTTCTCACCACATTTTTATTTAAGCTTGGATTTATAATTTTACTTAATATTACAGTATTCATTTAATAATTTTTTTGTGTATGACTGTTTGTTGGTGTTCTTGTTAGTAATATTAATTATATGAAGATAGGAAAAGTATTTTAGTATTAAATAATAATAGTTTTATTTTCTCATGTATAAATCTCATTAAAAAAAAAATTATTGTTCGAATCAAAAACAGAATACATAAATAAATAGCTATATATTTTTGTTGCAAAATTTTAAAAAATTGTGTAAAGTGTTTTTATGCTCATTTTTGCCGCTGTTGAATGTGATTGCAAATAAATAAATAAAGTTAATATGCAGTAATATGATTAGTACATCTATTACTTTTTGATTAATTGTATCTTTTTTAATTGTTTTTTAGGTGTATCAACTTTTCAAAGATGAAGATGAACTCTGTCTACTGTAATACAACGGTGTCAGTACAACCATAATTATTTAAGTCAAGACTTTCACTTTATCTTGATGTAGACCTATATTGATTTTTTTTTAAATGGATGGGCTTCTTTTCAAAATGGGCTTCTTTTCAAAGCAACTTTTGCAAGATAAAGGGAGGGGTGGGGGCTTCTTTTAAAAATGATTGCTGTAAATTTTTTGGGAATTACCACTATTTAAAACAATATTGTATTGTAAATAGGGCCACTGTAACATCAGTCTGTATCATGGAGTGTATTAACCCACATTAATTCACCTAATATATTTTTAATTAATTTGTTTCTTTAAAATTCATGTAGTGTATGTACTGTACTATCTCGAAAAGAAGCCCATAGGCTCTTTTCGCACACTAAAGAGAAGGCTTAAATTCGAGATGGGCTTCTTCTCGAGATTAAGCCTATTGGCTTCTATTACAGTATTGTAATAAAAAATCTTCATTTTTTCCCCTCATAATTGACCTTTAAGCCCCGCCCCTGGATATTGTTGTTACGGTTCACAAAATGAGAGTGTAAACGGAGGGGTGGATCCAGAGATTTTCTGACGTTGGGGGGGGGGCACAATATGAAGTATCGCCGCTAAACTCATGGGTGCACTCCTTTTTTAGCTCTTCCTCTCTTTAACTAAAATTTAACTAAAATTTTCGGCTTGACTGATGGGGAACTCAGCCCTCATGGCCCCCACCCGCTGCATCTGCCCCTGGTGTAAACGTATGTAAAGTGTATTTGTCGGACAACATATTCCTGATTAGTCTGTTGTTGAATTTGATAGAAACTTCGGAAAGGTCCCTTAAAATACATGAATATAAAAACAAGCTTTTAATCATATTAATGAATTGTTTATATCTCACCACCACCTTATATATGATCATGTGATAGGATTTTGAGCAAGAGCCAGGCGGCGCCTTCTATTAATTTGTTTTACTTTAATACACACCAATTTTTTTTCAATAAGATTTTTAAAAAATTTTTCCTACCTAGATGTTTTCAGCAGAACCATTTTGCTAAAATAACAAAATTATATTTTTATTTCTTTCTATCTTCTGACCATAAATGAAGATTGCTGAACAAGGTATTACAAAGTCTTCCTTAGCTAAACATGGTGGGGGGGGGGGTAGACTTTTTAGATAATTTCAAATTAATTCATTTCATTTTTATAGATGGGCAAGGAGGTTAATTGTAAGAGGTGGATTGCCATAACTGGGTGGCAAACCTCAAATCTGGTTGGCCCAGCACACCTCTGCCCACCATAACCACATCCCTGCTTAACCATGCATGTAAAAACATAAGTGTATTCAGGCTCTGAGACCTGTTAAATGTATTTTGTAGTATCTTTTTTCTCCGTTTTGTACAAGTTGATTAAAATGTGGTACATTATAGTAAAAGTTGTGTACTGTCTTTTTTGCTGTAGTACTGTCTTCTATGATTCTACGAAATGAACCACTCACGTCATATCTGGGGCGGATGCAGGACTTGGCGGTAGGGAGTGTGTGAGAGTCCACACAACCTCAGCCCCATCATAGTTGTGGCTGAGGTGAGAAAATTTTGAGAATATGAACCTCTAGATGCCAAGAAGTTGCAGTCTCGTACTTAAAAAATCTTCCCGGTACTACACTGTATGTTCATTATGATAAAAATAATATATCAACAATAGAATACAAGTTGTTTTTTTAAAAATTACAATTAAGAGGGGTGCGATCGCACCCCCTGCATCCGCCCCAGCTGTCATCATGACCAGACCCTACTGATTTTTCAATCTATTCAGGGATGTAACGATTGTTGTAGGGTCCATGTGGTGTTCAGTAAAAAGTTATAGCTAACCTAAGAACATTATGAATAATAATTAAGAATATATGATATAATTACATTAAGAATGTGTCCTTATTGTATGACACTAAAGGGGCCAATTTCATATTTTTCGTTTGTCCCCTCGTCCCCCTTAATAGGTGTACCCTATTCAGGGATATCCTTTACGTGGACACTTTATGGGTCCCGAAGGTGTCCCCTCATAATACAGTACTACTGTAATTTTATTTATATTGTCAACAGTGGGGTGTGTTCTAGCTGGGATGTGTACTTTCCTGCATTCTCAGGAGTTACCGTGTATGGCGATGGTGATTAATGATGAAGACATACAGGCGGCGGAATAGTTGAGTGATGGAAGGTATAATGACATAAAAATAAGCCCATCATAAATGTGGCCAGAGCAAGGGCAAAGATCTTTTTTGAAAAGTAGAGTGGGGGAGGAAGAGAATTCGAAAATCTGAAGAAACAGTACTTCCAGTGGGGCCAGAAATGACACTTTTGTATAGTAAAATTCCTCATCATCACACCACCATCGTAGTCAAGATTGTTATCACAAACTTTTATTAACATTTGTTTTTGGCATAACATCATATTCGTTTTTTCCATTTATACAGTTCATTTCAAACATTTCTCAGGCATATACTTGATAGAGGATCAAAAGGTTCTATGTTGAGGTGGTGCAGTCCAGATAAACGCCTTGGCAAAAAAAAAAAAAAAGTTGATGTGTAGAGTAATTTGGAGGGGATCAATGGCCCTCCACTGGAAAGTTTATATTTTATATATGCTTCTTTTGTTTCTGAAGCAATCATCAACAATATATGTTAAACACTACTTTATTTTCTAGGAAACCGTCAATCATCCCATCTCCCGATTTAATGCAAAAACGTCTAGATATCAAAGCCCTCTACTTTCTTATTCACTATCCCTAAGTTATACTCTAAACATTGACCCATCCTCCGCCACTACTTCTGATATTAAGCAAGCAATAATTTAATTTAATTTTAAATACAATTTGATTGGTCCTTTAAAATCCTTTTATTTAATTATTGTGTTATTTTCTTGTTGTCTATTTACCATTGTAAATAATTATTATTGCTGCGGATAATTGCCCTTGATGGCATTTGTAGCAGCTAAAATTGAATTGAAAAATTGAGAATAGCCGAATCAAACCGCAATAATATAGATTAAACAACCACAATAACTTAATGTAAATAATATAATGTATTCTTCTCAGAGAATAAAATATTGGTCCATGTAAATATATTTAATGTAAAGAATAAATTCTCAAATAAATGAATAAATGAAATTTATCTTCTATATTATCAAGAAACATAAAAATTTGAAAAAAGACTAAAATAATAGCCTATGTAGGCCTAAATTAGTAGGTTAATGTTGATTCAAGATAAATATATTGTCTAAAAAACCCAGAAATTACGTTCCACTGGTAGTGTTACAAGCGTTAACAACATACAGTAATAAATATATAAAATAACAAGGATATAATTAAGTACCAAATACAAATACAAATTAGTCTAAAGTTATTGCCTGATGTAAGATATTGCTATTTTAGACATCTGTGGGGTATTTTTATTCCATCTGATGGGTATTTAGAAAAAAATAAATAAATAAAAAAAAAGTTTTTCCACCCGCCCCCTTTTTTTTTTTAAAAAGAATGGCAAAAAATTTATTTTATTTGGCCTTATCGTAGAGGACGCTATTAGAAGGGAAATCCCCAAGTAAGTTAGTTCTTTGGTCAAAGCAAAGATATTAAATAGATAGCTATAAGTTCTTTCGTTAAAGTCTTTGGTTGAGTCGAATAGGGGAAGTAACCATTCATACACTTTCAAAACAACTTGATAGTAAGTACAGTACTTATTTGCACTTGAAGCATTACCATATTCATGTTTCTTCTTAATCGTGACTAGGCCCTAGGCCTAGTAGTAGTACAGTAGTTAGTACGAGTACACACTCCTCCGATCCTAGCTAGGCGGCTAGGTCTAGCTAATGACAAGTGGGCTCTACCGCTACATTGTACTAGAGCACTAGGCAGGTCTGCCTTGTTGTCCTCTACCTATGCCTCCTAATAAGCTTAGCCTAGTTAGGCCTAGGTTGTAGTATCATGTTGTGTTAGGCCTTGTCATAATGATGTGTTTGTTTTGCTGCATTATGATAATTGTAAGTAAAACGTCTATTTATTTTACAGCATTAATATTGTAGAAAATCTCTAAACACACTGCAAATGCAGGCGTCAGTTAGTGTATTAGCACGTGCAGTGGAGCTTGACAAGAAGAAGCGGTACACAGAAGCGGCTATATGTTATCAGGAAGGGATACAGCTGTTACTCAACGTTTTAAAAGGTTTGTGTGCATTCCCAACATTATTTCCTGACAGAAAAAAACATATCATTAAATCATTAATGAGCCTAGATGGTACCAAGGTAATTTAACAAAAGGACGCACATCTCCGCTCTCGAACATAGCGCATGCGTACAGTCCTTTGATCTTTACTG